AAAACTGTAAGTCCGATTGCTTTGATATTATATATATAGGTACTACATGTGGACCTCTCTCAGATTTGTTCATTTTGTGATGATATCTTCAATTCTCTAATTTTGGTGAATATTTTTGTAATTTTTGGTAAAAAGTGATATTTTCGACTTCTTGTTAAAAACCAAAAGTTCATTTGCTTTGATATTACATATATAGATACTACATGTAGACCTTTCTCAGATTTGTTCATTTCCTGATGATATCTTCAATTCTCTAATTTTGGTGAATATTTTTGTCATTTTTGGTAGAAAGTGATATTTTCGACTTCTTGTTAAAAACTGCAAGTCCGATTGCTTTGATACTATACATATTGTTCATTTTCTAATGATGTCTTCTGTTCTTTAATTGAAATGTGCATTGCTAACAGCGGAGCTATCTCAGCCGACAGGCTGCTTGTTATGAAAATACAGTAGCTGATGTAATACAATATGGCAGATTTGTAGCCATTTTTATGGCAATCTGTTATCTGATCTAATGTAGTATGGCTGACTGGCAGCCATTTTTATGCAAATACAGTAGCTGATGTAATACAATATAGCAGATTTGCAGCCATTTTTATGGCAATCTGGTATCTGATCTAATGTATTATGGCTGACTGGCAGCCATTTTTATGCAAATACAGTAGCTGATGTAATACAATATAGCAGATTTGCAGCCATTATTATGGCAATCTGGTATCTGATCAAATGCAGTATGGCTGACTGGCAGTCATTTTTATGCAAATACAGTAGCTGATGTAATACATTATAGCAGATTTGCCATTTTATTATAAAAACACACTGAGTGTATAAGTAATTTCCTTAGATCTGTTTATGTTTTGAAAGTGTTGATATATATTAAATTGCAACGAGTCTTTCAAATAAGATGATATATTTAGTTGTTTACACTAGATCCTCATATTGCATGTATGTCTGACCTGGGTTTTTTGAGATGCACATTTTCAGTATGTCAATCTCAGCACTAATTGATTACGTACTCAGATCAAAAAGTACATTGGCATTAACGTTCAAATAGATCTGTATGTTAATATAACACTCTTTGACATTAGGTTTTAGTAGATTGTAATGTTTTAGTCAATAAAAGTCCACTATAAAATCTAGGGCTTCATCATATTCTGCTACTGTAAGCTTTCTTCAGATTTGAATGATGACGGAATCATTACATAATCTAGTGAATTGTTTATTAAATCATTTGATTACTGTAGAATACTTTATTTTAGCTGGAATTAATTTTCACTGAAAAGACTTTTTTGGTGTTTTGTATAGAATTTATTTTCCAGATTTTTGACAAATTGAATGTAAAATATAGGAAAAAGGGTGTATTGTATTTTCACTGAATCATTCCTTCAGGGAAAATAGCGAAAATTAATTCCAAGCGAAAATAAAGTATTTTTACTTTAGCTACTCAAATAAGTAACTAGTGACATTCATTTGTGCTAAATCGTTAATTAAATAGTTACTTAGGTGGTTGCAATCATCTTTGTCAATCATGTTGTCTAATTTTCTACTGAGCTGTGTTCTATGTTTACATCAGTTTTATTTTTAGTAATAAAACTTGTTATTATACATCTGTCACCGTAACGCTATAAGTTACAACATGCCGTAATTTTGCAGTATTATATGGGGTATTTTCATCCTACCATATTAGGAAATGCGAATTCCAAATATGGAATGATTATATGAGTAAGCATACTTTAATAATAAAAAACGAACATGGCTGCCACCAGGGTTTGACCGGGCCCCATTTTACTACGTCATTTTGAGTCTTCCAAGTTTAAATTAATACAAAGAAGTTCGCTGATTTTGCAAAGCTTTCGGCATTCCCCATGATATATCCTTGGTAGGAAAAGATGTATAATAATAAGGTTATTACGAAGATACCTCAAAGTATCTTCGTAATAACCATATAATCATTATCAACATAACCGTATTTTCTCTATTAGTAGCGCATATGCTTACGTAATTTACAGAAGTATATGTATGATCAAAATAGGTCATACTTTTAATGATACAGTACAAACCGACTGGTTGTGATGCTCTTCTATAGAGAAAATATTGTACATATATTCATTTCCACTGTCCATGTACATGTATACGAGAGCAGCCAACCTTAAGTAATTTCAATATTTTTATACTGCATGCCTATTTCAATAGATTTCAAAAAACAAAATAACCAGGAAACCAGACATTTTAAATGTGTGTGGTTCCTTTCTAGTCCTAATAAGGTGTATCAATGTACATCAATGTACATCAATCAAATTATTCGATTGTAATTGCATTTGGTAATTTATTGACAATCATGGAAATTGTACCACTACCTGTTCAGACTTGTATTATGATGATAGAACAGGTATTGTTGTTAAGGTTGTTGTTACCAGCTGTAAATACGTTCAATTTCATTGATCTACAAAGTCAGATTAAATTTAGATAAAATCATAAAATTTTATAGCACTGAAAACGTAAATTATTTTAGTCTTAAAACTGTCAAAATGTGAAATTTTCTTATGTATCTATTCTTTTAATACCAAAACTACATTAAGAGTGAGGATTAATGCAAAGATTTATTTCTGGTTAGGATGAGAGATTATGACTTTTTTTTTCTGCCAAAATATTTCTGTAATGTGTGTACTTTAGTTTCTACATCAGTAGCTGGGTTATTTTGGGTCCTAAATATGTTCAAGTAGCAAATGAATAAATACTGCATT